TGTTTCTCGACTTCACTTTGTGTGGCTTGTATCGAATGATTGGAATTGTAGCAACGTATTCATCCATTTACTATGGGAGGAACAATGTGGGGCGACTTTGCCGTCTCCCCTACTTTACTTTGGTGTAACAAGATATCGTGAATGAGATGTACACATTCGAATTCAAGGAGATCGGACGGTCATTCGCGTCCGTCAGTACCCAGTCAATGTAGTCCAGGTTCGATTGTTCAATCACATCGATCGATAGGTTGTCCCAGGTGATCATGTTGTTCAGTCCCATCGATACATGAATCAGGTTATCGATCAACGGACTCTTCAGACCGAATGTTTGAGCATTGATACTACTGTAGACTCGGATCACACTCATGCCATTCGTGATGTCGTAGGGTTCACTCGCTACCATACCTGCCTCAACGATACCTTCCAACTTGAGGATACTCGTGTAATCAGGTGCGCCACTAAGGTCAACAGCGGTCGCCACATCACTGTTCAAGTATGCTCGGTTAACATCGTCTACCTGGATGGAATCGGCTATCGCACGGCATAACTCGGTAATCGAGTAGTAGCCAGGACCGACGTTGTAGACCATTTCAAACCCTGACAGCATTTGAACCTTCACCACATTCATTGCACGAATGTTCCAGAGAGAAGTGGTATCGATCTTGCATGTAATCGAAGTGATCTTGTACACAAGGTCACGAGGCATGATCACTGTGTTGAACGTTTCATGGTATCGTTCGTTGTTCTTCGGAATTACTGTATTGTGGTTAATCACACTCACCGGTAGTGCACGATTATGACTCATTTATTGTGTGGAAGTGAGTGCACACTGTAATCGGCATTGGCAGGGCAATCGTTGCACCGGTCTTATCGGTCAACGAGAATGACCATTTGCGACTTTTGGGTACCACGACGTTCATGTATGCATTCTCCGTGTACTCCTCGTTCAATACAACCAACGGAGACTGTCGTCGTTCTTGCATGTTGTTCACTCGATCAAGGACAAGGCAGGTGCCAGGCGATTCTCCCTTCATCGATATCCGATCGATTACCATGTCGCTTTTGATGAGATTGTTACTCGTGAATTCATGTTCGTACGTTCGAGCAATGTTGAACACTAGATTCATTTATTATTTCCTCCTGAAACGGTGAATCCGATTAGCAGGTACACGTTCCCAATGAACGATAGCGGGTCACCATTTTTGTCATTCAATTCGTACACGATGCGATCAAGCAATTCAGAACATGGTACCAACATGCGATTCTTGTAGAAGTAGTTCTTGTACAAGCTGTCCATCGGGACATTCGCAAGCAGTGGTATCGTCTTGCTTTTCTTGATGTTGCAATACAGCTGTATGTTCGATAGACCGTTCGTGATATCGACAGGATACTCGGCAACCATCGGACCATAGTTGACATAGTAAGCACCATCGTTGAAAGGCATACGCCATGTATGCGATTGCGATCCTGAAGCGGGAACGATGGTTCCCAGGTTACCACTCAACGAGAACACGTAGTCTGCGTGAATGTAGTACCCATCTGACTCAGCTTTCCATCGTATGTTCAGTGCAGCCGAGTCAAAACACTGGTTCATGTGCCATATCATGTCAGCCTGTGTCAATCGTGATGGTATGGTCCACGTGAGTGTTTGAATGTCATCTGTGTACGTGATATCAGTCTCGGGGGAAGCACTGCTTCCCTCTTCGTCCAGTGTCATCATTCCGTACGGGAAGCGAATCGTCGTGTTAGCCGTGTACGACTCAGATTGTTCCCAGTCAACGAAGGTATTCAATGATGGGTGAAGACCGACATACGTAACACGTGTCGGTTGTATGAATTCGATCGACACAGCACGATCGGAATACGTACTACCTTTGATCATATTCGTCACATTCAGTCCATCGATGTTTGCCATCGCAAACTCGTAAGGTGATGTCAACTCGGGCATCCTGATGTAGTAATTGCGATAAAACTCGAAATAACAAGACAGATACACACCACCTGGTTCAGCGTATGGTCCGGGTATAATCTTGAAACATGGATTATCACAAAACAATATGAATCGTGGTTCTGTACCATTTCGACATCCCATTCGTACTCGACCACCATTATCTGCAATGACATATACCAAGTACCCTCCGAGAGACGCATCTACATATATCTTATTGATCACATTAGCGATCATATTCACGATATCAACAGCGCTATAATGACCTCGTTGGATTGTGAGAGGTCTTTCGCCATATCCACGTATTCCAAGTATAAAATTCGTCGTATCGATAAACACTCTCGTGTGATATATACTATCCTTGGAATACCAAGGTCCGATCGAAGAACCATTCGATGACACCAAGTCACCTGTATTTTCCGATGTGATATGCAATTCCAATTCTGGTGCATAGTCCTTCGCAGTCCATGACATGCTTTCTCTATTGTCATTCACCGTCCACGCAATCGCATTCTGGTGAGATGGAGGTAGTTCCATAGCACTCGCATATCGAGCATTGAGTTCATTAAAACATGTGGTTGTAAGAGTATTCATCTTGATCGGGGTAGACGTATCTTCCGTTATGTAGAATTCACCACTATCGAGTACTGAGCCATCAGCTAAACGCATCGTGTATGTCGCGAGAGGCTTTAGCAGGAACCGATTATCATTCGTACGCATTTTCCAGTCATACGCAATGAAGGTGTTTGATCCTATATACGCATGACCACCAATACCTTGATCATTCGTCATATCAGGTGGTGAATCGCTTTCAGGGTTGAACGAAGCTTCCACTGGTCGTTCGATGCACAGATTGCGTACCGTTGATGCCAATTTGAACCATGGAGTCCAACCAAAACCATCGATCGTCGTGTCAACGCTGGATCGATTGAAATACCATCCGTCTGCTTGGACATTGAAGCGAACATGATCATCCTCGATCGTCATGGATATGAGTGGAAGCACTTTCACCATTTCAGCACCGACAGCCTCGATGAACTCGCTGAACGTGTAGTAACCGACAGGCAATGTCAACATGTGCGATTCCCTGCCATCAGTAACAACCACGTGATTACATGAGGACGACAAGTAGTAGCGCTTCGGGTTATCCACTCCTTTCACCAAGATGTCCGATTCGAAACCAAGGATCGACCTGATCTCTGGTGCATTCGTGAAATCGATCATGTAGAAGTGATCTACCGTGATGTGGAACGCATTCTCACCGCTATACACCAATTCGAACAGGGCATCACTTGCATTCAGCTTTGCAATGATCGTTTCGATGTCGTATGCACCGCGTGGTATCGCGATCTCTTGAATCGTACTGCCAGCATTGATTAGCACCACTTGATCAGTCGGCACGTTGTGCAACACGAAGTCCGTATACAACGACACAGACGAGATGTAGCACTGGTCGAACGAGAGAGGATTGTCCAGCTTCACTTCCTTCTTCGTAGTATTACCGAACACTTCGATCATTGAGAACTGGTTTGCAGAGGCAATCGTTGGGGGTGACATCGTCACCCCCGGGGGAAGCGAAGCTTCCCCCATCGATGAAGGCACTTCATCATACACGTCCTCAATCGTCAACTGGAGTTCGAATTCGCCGTTCAATCGCATCATCTTGCCATCCATATCGCGGAACACGAACATCAATTGATCAAACCGAGTGATCATTGGTATACGCACGTCTTCCACAGTTCGCACGTAGTCAGCCGTTGGATCGTCAATGATCATCGTGGTGAGCAGGTTGTTGTTCTGGTTGGCAATCTTCAGGTCCGATGATCGCACGATCGTCGAGTAGACCTGAATCACTTGTCGATTTCGCGTGATATCAATCACGTTCGATCCACTGAACGAAGCAGGTAGAATGACCGTTCGTCCATCGAAGCCGAGGATCTCACGAATGTCAGGTGCATCTGTGAAATCAATGGTGTGTGGAGACTGAATCCAGATACAGCCGAACGACGAGGCATTCGTCGATATGGAGAACAGCGTGTCAGTCATGGTATTGAGCAAGGCAATGATCTCACTGATCGTGTAATAACCAGCAGGGATTGTCACAGTCTCGTTATTGCTGTTAGTAATCACATTCGTCGTGTCCACGTTGTTGAACATCGAACCATTAGGATGAAACAGGACAGTCATGGAAGTGATATAGGGATTCTTGTACTTGTACGGATTAACCCATGTAAATGAGCCGTTGGTAGGTGAGCCTTGAATAAGCATGGAGTAGTGCATGGTCTTTCTCTCTTTACCTTAGTCAACAAGACAATGGGGAGGAATCGAAGATTCCTCCCGGGGCAACGTAGTTGCCCCCCATCACAACCATGGATACCATGGCCAACAATGGAAGTCAGGTTAACATTGCAGAAATTTGCCGAAATTGGCAGTCATGGGTTTCCGCGCGTTTCTTGTTATGGGTATCGAGGTGACCAGGTAGGCAATGGCAGAAAATGGCCGAAAATGGTCGAAAATGATCACATTGACCAGCAATAACAACCATAATAGTCATGGATATCGCACATTTCAGCACTCGTGTTTTACTCATGAGTGCTGAAATTCTTATGAAACGCAAAAATCAAGGTACCAGTTGAGGGGGTCTGAGGGGTGACTTTGGGGGATTTTTTGTGTTCTGACGGGAATACGCGAAAACAAAGATGGGGTCAGAGGGGCGACTTTGAGCCGCGCACTCTCGTAGATGAGGTCGGAGGGGTGACTTTGGGTTCCGCGTGTTTCCCGTCATTCCCCTACTACTTACATAATAAAATACAGGGGTAGAATATGAAAATATTATTACAAATGGCTGAATGAGACCAACAGCAGACATACAATAATTTTCTTGACACACTTTGCTTATATACCTTGAATTCATGGAGAAACTAATACTCAACGTTTTCTTCACACTCCATAAATACTTTTTGTTTGAAGAGTTCTAAAGGGCTGCTCGTTGTTATAGCATACTCAATACATTCTGACAATTGGATCTACTGAAAATCGTACTTCTACGAAAATGGAATTCCGTGTCGGATATAACTATCGGTTGGGTAGAAAAATTGGTGGCGGCGCATTTGGTGAAATATATTTAGGAACTGACATCAATACTGGTAAGTTTGCCTATTCGCGCCTTATGGAATAGGAAATGAAGTTGCAATAAAGCTAGAATCCCTTTCAAACAGAAACCCGCAATTACACTACGAATACAGGTATTATCAGCTTTTGAAAGGAGGCATTGGAATTCCATCGGCTTTATATTATAGCAAGGAAGGAAGCTATAATATTATGGTAATTGATCTGCTGGGACCGAGTTTGGAAGATCTCTTCAATTACTGCAATAGGAAGTTCTCTTTAAAGACTGTTTGCATGTTAGCGAGGGAAATGATACTGAGACTGCAGTATGTGCACAGTAAGAACTTGCTTCATCGAGACATCAAGCCTGATAACTTCACAGTTGGTTTAAACAAAGATGCAAACGTTATTTTTCTTATTGACTATGGCTTGTGTAAGCCGTACCGCAACTTTTTAACTTTGGAACACATTCCGTAGCCGATTTTTCTGTTTTGGTTTAAAGAATAGGTATCGTGAAAACAAGAGTTTAACCGGAACTCCTCGATACGCTTCGTTGGGAAATCATTTCGGCATGGAGCAAAGCCGTCGGGATGATCTGGAGTCTTTGGGTTATGTTCTTTTATACTTTTTGAAAGGAAAATTACCGTGGCAAGGACTTCGCGCAGAGACAAAAGAAGAAAAATACTCACAGATCCGAGATCACAAACTGGAATACGGCTTTGAGCAGCTCTGTCAAGGATTTCCGGAAGAGTTTTTGGACTATTTCGACTACTGCCATTCGCTTGGATTCAGTGAAACTCCCAATTACACGTATCTACGAAATCTTTTTTCGGAGATACTTCAAGACCGAGTATGGAGTCAAAACCCCGATCAATCCTAGGGATTGGAGGATGATGGCGTGTACGACTGGATGGATGACCCTGCGAATCACTCCCTCAGTGTGCTTCCGAAGCACTGCATCACGTCCAGCGGCACGATTCGTCATGATTTGCTCAAGCCTGCTCCCAAAGAACTGCGTGAATCCATGTTGGCGGATGGTGAAGTTGAGGGAACGATGTGAGATCTAGATACAGTGCAACGCCGATTTGTTATGATCGATCGTCTCGAGTCGCGAAGAGACTCCACGAACATCGAGTCGGTGAGGTAGAAACAATCGAGCCTTTGCTGAAGCGTAGATCGATCCCGTCTGATATTCTGAACCCTAGCACGGGTTTGTCGCCATCGTATTCTCATGCGATCTCAAATCGAAACTATACAAACGAGGATTTGAATAGTGCACGTCCGCAGATCGATGAGATGAGTCGGACACGAACTATGTAGAGCTTTGGAGAATTAGGAGGAAGAAGAAGAAGAAGAAGAGGAAGATTAAGAAAGAGAATTGAGATTTGTCATAAGCTAGTAATTTTATATACGGATGTTTGTTTTGTTTTTTTAAATAGTCAATTCTGTGACATGATTTTTATAGAATGGAATAGGTGGGGAACACAAGAACAAGAACCATAATCCAAGGACTTGGTGAGTTAAAACAAATGGCTTCCCTTTTGTTATGACAGAGAGAGCGAAATGAAGGCATGTTATGTAACTGTTACCGTAGTGAATATTAACTGTTAAAAAATAAAAGTGGTCAGTGAACTGTTATGTTTCATATACACAACTACTCTTCATTTTAAAGGATTTACTCTTCAGTTTTTTCCTATTTATTTAAAGTGAAGTCACATTTGTAATGATTTCCAAATACTTTGGTTTAGATAACAAACAAATTCCATGCAAAACAAATATTACTAATGCTTATATTACCAAATGCAATGTATAAGGCGATAGCTTATCCTATGCATTGATCATATTAAGCACTAATTATTTTATGATTTTAACACGATCAGCGAGAATAGAAGAAACATCTATGCATGAAGTATAATGCATCAAACAATACTCGATATTGATTTCTTACTAACTACAACAAAAGAATGAGATAGATTGATATTTTGAAGATTTGGAATATCTACATACAATCAATGCTCTACAAGGATAAACTACTTTCAAGTGTCACTGAGCGAGAATTACAAAAACTATATCCTTTTAAATTGATGATAGACGTTAGAATGGGAAGATCTAGATTCAATCATTCAAAATATCCAATTCACACTTCGCATTGTCAATGAACATGATCCATTTCTCATATGTCCACATAGCGCGAATATGCCGAGTTTAATGGATTGTAATGATGGTAGATCTATATCAATCACTTCATTCTAATTCATTCAATACTTTCGATTATGGTTGATAAGGAAAAACGGAATACGTTATCACCTAATGTAATGGATTGTAGATTTGGAAGATCTAATGGTTATTCAAATCTCAATATCATTTCATTTCTTACCTCGAATCACAAATGTACTATTACAGAAATTGAACGAATCACTTTCAATTGCACCAATTTGAATGGATTGTAATTGTGGTAGATTCTTCAATTCAAATTCGCCAGCATAATCACTGAAACTGTATTCACCGATTTCTATCGATTCCAATGATTCACAATTCAATATGTGGAATGATTTCGATTGGTTTAAAACAAAATCATTACTATGTTGAGTAAAGGAATTGATCCCGATTTTGATCGTTTTCAATCGATTCAATCCATCAATCTTGAATGTTTTCACTGATTCAAAACAATCATTCCCGATTTCGATTGATTCCAAATTATACAACAATGAAACATCCCAGTCTTTCAATACACAATTCTCACTCAGTTTCAAATGTTTGATTCCAATATTCATTGGTTCTGAACCATCGCCTTCATATAGTTCTTCATTATCCCATTCAATTCCATTATACCACAGACATACTTTTACTAATTTCCCATATCGATCATATACAATTCCCCTTCCAACTCGCTTATCATCACACCAATATCCTTCATATTCAATCAAACCATTATTATGATAACTCGTTCCATATCCAAATCGTTTCCAATTGATCATTATGCCCTTGTACACCAAGAATCCATCATCATCATACATTTCACCATATCCAAATGGAATTCCTATTTTACCTTCTTTTTCGTTGTCTTTTTCCTTTTCTTTCAATACCAATCCTTCAAATCGACTTCCATGATCCAAGTCCACGATTCCTTTTTCCACATTTGACTGTTCTTCATTATAGGAAATATCACCGATTTGATGATTTCCTAACACTTTCAACACTTTTTCATCATTGACCACAAATCCTTGATTCATGAATACTCCATTATTGAATTGCAAAACTAAACTCTCTCTATTACTCAAAATGAATGAAAGCCAGCCATCCACTTTCCATTCTTTACATAAGTATCCCTGCACATTTTGAATGATAGAACAATCAAGATGATAATTGCTTATCACAGAATTGACAAAATCAGCAACACTTTGCATCGAGTGGTATTTTTTATTGCACAACGATCATCCCACAACCAATTTAGGGTCCTCCTTTTATTAAAGTTGGCCTTAATAATATAAATCATTTTATCATATAGCATAGTATCGTCTCTTGTTTATACGAGTCATTCCTAAACTGAACTCAACAAAGAAGTCATTCGTGACCGACAACGACTCTATACGCTCTTGCAATCTACTTTCACTCAAACTTCCTTCTACAAACAAACAAACAAATCGATTTAGACATAAGCTAGCTCCACCATTTTCCGCTGAGCTTTCTTCGGGTCATAACGAATACCGCCTCCAACACTACGCATCATTCCGCCCCCTGACTCAAACCCCTTAATTAGAACTAACATAACAATCACAAGGATCAGGACAATAACAACGATCACAATAACAAAAACAAGAATGAATGTAGTGCACTGACCATCATCCGTCTGCAAAACCACAGCCAACGCGCTGTCATCCAGCTTGCACTCCGTTTTCTTATTTCCCAAAAAGTCGCACTTCTCCGTCCGCGTCTGGCCCGCATACATCACGGGCTCTCCATCCGCGTTATTGCACACATTGCTATTCACCATGATGCGGACCGTGGCCGAGAGCTCGCTCGTTCCGCTGCTCGCATTGATCGTGTACGTCGTTTCCTTCGTTACTTCCACCACCGGCGTGCCGCTAATCTCTCCCGTCTTCGCGTCCAGCTTGATTCCAGCGGGTAAAACTACCATCTTCAACACGTCCTCTCTCCTCCTACACGGCTTCGCTACGAAGCTGTACGTGCCCTCGGCGATCGTCGGCATGCGCGACTCGATCGGCTGATGCTTCATCGTCGTAATGATCGCGTTCGCGTAGGAAAACGTGCCCGGCTCCACGCCGCCCTGCTTCTCCGAGCAGTCTTCCTGCGGCGTTCCTTCCCACTCGCCCTCCAGATTGCACAGCAGCGTGATGCTTCCCTCCAGATTGGGGTCCTTCACCGCGCACGACAGCGACGCCGTCTCGCCTGCGTTGGTCTGCGGCCAGCTGTACGAGCCAACCTCCGACGCCGCGCACTGGATTCGCTCTGGAGTCATCGCTGCCCGCCATCCTCACCGCACGGAGAGATGATCTCCCACTCGCCACGCAGACTGCACGTGGCGTTGAACTCGCCCATCCAGCCCTCCGGGCAGATCGCCTCCACCGTCTCTCCGAAGGGCGTCTCGTCGACCTCGACGCCGGTAATCACCGTGGCTCCGCAGCCGGTCTGCTCTATCGGTCAGGCCGTCCCTCCACATCGCACGGCAGCGCTCCAGCGGCTCGTCCCAGGTGAGGGAGGACGTGCAGGTGAAGGTCACGGTGCCTTCGTAGCCGCTATTGCACGGCAATTCGGGCGTCGAGTTGGGCGCGGAGGCGCTCACATTGTACGATCCGCTGGGCAGCTCGAACACTTGTCTCAGACACATTATCTGCACTGCACTTCACGTCCTCGCTCCATGCCTACCGCACTCATTCACCGGCTCTTCCCACGTCCCTGTCGCCGAGCAGGCTCGTCGAATCGACCCCTGATACCCTTCCCCGCAGCTCAGTTCGCAGGTTTCTCCGGCCTGGGTGACCTCATAGAAGTGGCCTTGATACAAATTCGCGGGGCACTGCACCGTCTCTGCCCCTCACTCTCCTCTCTCCGCACGCCTACCGCACTGGTCAAACACTTCCGACCATTCACCCGACGGCAGACACGCGCGGATCCGCTGGCCTTGCTTGCCGTTCGGGCAGGGCAGCGAGTAGTCGTAGTTCCCTGCGCCCTGCGGCCACTCGCCCGTCGCATCACACCGCGTTCCGTCTAGTTCGAATCGAACCCCCGACCCTACCGCAGAAACCCTCCGTGGCGCTCCACGTGCCGTCTTGCTGGCACTGACGACTCACCGAGCCCGTCATTCCGATGGGGCAGGACGGACTGGCAGACGAGCCGATCGGAGTTCGCGGCCAGGTGATCACGTCTTCGCGTGTTTCGGGGCAAAAAGCCTCAACTAGGAGTGAAGGATCGAGCTTAAATACTACCGCAGTTGTCTTGCACAGGACCCCATTCCCCGTTCACACAGGCGCGAGTGACCTTGCCGGATTTGCCTGCGTCACACGCCATTTCGGCTACAGATCCCGAAGGAGTGTCGGGCCAAGCGTAGCCCCCAAACGACTGGGCTTTGCACATCTGCACTACGCATCAAAAAGAGGAGCTATTATGTACCGCAGGTACTCACAGGATCGTTCCAATCTCCACTGAGAGAACACTCTCGGGTAATCTGACCCTCGGCTCCACCAGGGCACTGCTTGGTAACTGATCCTCCTGCAATCGTCTCCTCATAGGTAATTCCATCTATTATCTCCTCAGGGCACATGCGATCCACTAACAAATCAAAAACTACAATCATAACAACCGCACTCGCGAATTAAGTCATTGCTCCAAGTGCTATCCTCATTGCAAACACGCATAACGTAACCATCTGCTGTTGGACCGCAAGCTTCATAGTTGGTTGCGTTATAACCCGGCTCCGTTGCTGGCCATACAATACCTTCGTAAGTTTCTTCAGGGCACTCTAAATTCAAATGGATAGGAAATGTCACCTGCTACTGAGAGAGGGATCAAACATAATAAAAACGGTAACAGAAGAGCTATTTTGCTACGAGTCATTCTATTATTCTGACTTAAAACAGAATAGAATACGAATCCAAAATGTCCGTATTCTACTATTTTAATATACAAAAAATACATACACAAACCACCTATTTTGATGATTTTTAGGGTATTCTTGTTTTAATTCACTTTCTAATTAAATGAACCCAGTTTGTGTTTTAATAATCATTGCCTATTTAGCAAAACAGACTGCGTAAAATCAGTTTAGGAACGTGTTTACTGATCCCCTAAAAACGGATATAATGAGTGCTTTCTCTTCAGAATAGGGAAGCAGACTCTAGAAAACTCATTTTTTCTGTTCTATCTATTTTCATTACTTCATCGAATAAAAAATAATTTCGATTAGCAATATGGAGAACTTTCATAGTAGTGTACCCAATGATTTAGATTCCTGACCTACAGGTGACTGAATTCGGTGAGATTGACGGAAAGAAGGTTTATAAGTATTTGATTAGGTTTTCTTTATCTATACTCTTCTGATATAGCAATGGATATCTCACTGCCGTGTTTTTGAACTATGGAGCTACTCTGATTTCGTTCTCTTCTCCCGACAAGCAGGGGAACGTTGAAGAGTTAACAATGAATCGTACCACACTGGATGACATTGTTCACAAAAGCGATTACTTTGGTTCAACGATCGGAAGGTGTTTGTTATGGATTGAATCCACGTGTAGGAATGCATTCCGTATAGCGAATGGTCAGTTTACGCTGAATGGAACTCATTACCAATTGGCCACAAACAGTGGGTCAAATCACAACCATGGAGGTAGAATCGGCTTCGACAAGTGCATGTGGGATGCAGAGATAACAACGCACGCCGACCGAGTGTCCATCACGTTCTCTCGCTATTCTGCAGACAAGGAAGAGGGCTATCCGGGCGCACTTCACGTCAGAGCCACCTACTCCATCACCTCTTCCAACGAGCTTGATATGGTGTTTGAGGCTTCAGGCAACGAGATTCCAACGATCGTCAACATGACAAACCACGCCTACTGGAATCTCTCGGGCAACTGCAAACGTCCCGTCAACAATCATGTACGTCTGTATTATTCCTTCAATCCAGAAACTCTGCATCGATTCGGATTTCTATCTGGATGGAGAAAACATGGTCAATTATCCTCTACTCTTCTCAACATCAGATTCCAAACGAGACTCCCATCCCCGTCAAAGACACGCTCATGGACTTCACCACGTTGAAATCACTCTCTCCGGCGATCGATCGGGTCGATGGAGGAGGTCGACCAGGAATTGATCATGCCTTCTGTCTTCGCGGATATTCCAACGACATCGACAACAAGACACTGCGGAATGTTGCGCGGTATGTGAATGAATTGAAATGCATGGTAGATTGGTGGAGGAAGAGAGTGGACGATGCGTTGACGTTTCCACGACGGAGTGTGCCTTGATTGTGTATACATCGAACTGGGTGGATGAAGAGCCGCCGTTTGTTCCCGTACTCTTTCCCATTGAAACTGATTTGCAGCATTACGCGATCTGTTTGGAACCCGGCTTCTATCCTGACACTCCCAATCATCCTAGCTTCCCGACGAGTGTGATTCTTCCTGGACATTCCTATTATCATCACAGTGTATTCAAGTTCTCCACTCTTTTTTGTGTTTGTTTTAGTTCCTCCGATTTTTGGAATTCCATTAGTTCATTACGGACCAACATTTCCATATTCATCTTTGCCAGTCTCCTATTTGTAAACCATGCAGCAAGATCGTAGAAATAGTGTTTGGCTGTATCAAAATTAGAGGGCGGTGTTACTTTCATGAACATGGGTAGTTCGGGTACTTATCATTTGATTTTCGACTGATATTCCTAGATGCTTTCGGAAGCGAGATGTCGGCTCAGCAAGTGACCTCTAGTCAGAAAGTTCATATCCTTCCATTGAGTATTCGCTTTGGTTCCTTTATCTGAACATATTCGTATTCAGCAGCGAAATGGACGCAAGAGTATTACCACCGTTCAAGGTTTGGCTGAAGATCTGAACCTTAAGTTGATTTTGAAGACGTGGAAGAAGAGCTTTACTTGCAACGGTGCGATTGTCAATGACGAGGAGCACGGAAAAGTAATTCAGCTCCAGGGAGATCAGCGTGAAAACGTCCGTGATTTCCTTGTAAGCGAGGAAATTATCGGAAAAGATGATATTGTGGTGCATGGTTTCTAATTCGTTGTGGAGTCTTTGTTGTACAATATTTGTCATCCATTCGTTGCTTAAAGGACTCTAAAGCTGAGAAGATTGATTTGCAAGTTACAACGCCATGAATGTTGCTAGATATTTACAGCACTCAAGTTTGATTTCATTGCACAAAAGCTTTCATTTTATATGATTAGGAAGAGAAACCATTGTAATCACATCCACAAGTTCAAGAAATAGAATTCTTCTTTCTGTTCTTCACTTCCTTGTTTATACAACAGGATAGCCGGTGGCTCGTTGTATGGTTACT